GAAACATTTAAGATCAAATATTTTTGAAATATAGATAACTTGGACTAGGAAACGTAGTTTGGATGTTACTTTCCCAATAAAACTTGTTCATCCATTTAACTCCAGGCCTTTCTCCGAGGAATATGAATCAAATGCTGATGACAGATACACAGTTAATGCAGTCCGTCTGCCTGGGGTAACTGCACTTCTATCTTTTTCTCAAAATGAGGGGTGAAATGGCCCGATATCTGAAATGAAATTTAGGATGGGGATTTTATATTTCTCTTCTATTCTTTTTACACTTTTGCACTATGTTTGGTTCAAGGAATTTAGAAAGAAAATAAAATAGTTTTCCCTCAGTTTCCTCACAAAAATGGGAGGAAATTGGTTTTCCCTCCTCTTAGTACATTTTGCCTTTTCATTTTCTTTTCCTTCCACTTTTCTTTTCTTTTCCTCTCTAACCAAACAAGAAAAATGTTTTCCTTCTCATTTTCTTTTCTTTTCCCTCTCAAATTCCTTGAACCAAACATAGTTTTGATGTTATTAGGTGGAAAATGGGCCGAGGAAAAAAATGTGTAAAGGATTATAGTAATATAACTTACTTGAAAGACACAAAGAATGAGACAAGTAGGTTAAGATTTCTTAGTTTCTTCTTTCATGCTCTTTCATGGATCACAGGGTGGTAGGAAAACTCTAGTCTTGCATGAGGTTCCCAATGATGCTGTGCAAAAGCTTCTCTCTGGAAAAGATGCTTTAGCTGCATGTGACGTTGCAATATTTGTCCATGACAGGTGTCCTTTCTCATGAGTTTGCTCTCCTCACATTCTTATTGATTGTTCAGCGCACACACACACAGCATTGTATGTGCGTGTATATATCATTTCAAAAATTTAGTCTCTTTATTTCCTTTAAGGGGACGTACAAAATAAAAAAGGCACTTCCAGGCCCACCTATCATTACACCCAAACCAATCAGGACCTAGAATCAACTAATATAAAAACAACACTTCTAACATTCTCTGCTCTCACTGCATAATTTTGGAATTTACTATTTTACTCACAGTTTTCTTTTTTACAATTTTCAAATGTCTATACTGATAATTGTAGGTGTTTCCAGTATTGTGTTCGTTTCTTGATTGGCATGTGTTACATTTGCTGTTATACAAGTTTTTTAATTGTTTGGTGCTTGTTAGTTCTAGTGAGCCCTCATGGAGGAGAGCATCTGAACTGCTTGTAGATGTTGCTAGTAACGGGGAGGCCACTGGCTATGAGATCCCTTGTCTCATTGTGGCAGCTAAAGATGATCTTGACCCTTATTTGACTGAAATACAAGACTCAACAAGGGTAAGCTATTCATTGTAGGACTGTTTTAGTCATATTGATATCTTTGGACACAAGTAACTAAATGAGACGTGACATTTAATAATCATTATTTATTACAAAGGAAATGCTATGGAATTGATTATTTCCATTTTTGCTTTATGTAAATTCAAAGTTTGCATTAGAATTAGAACACACTTGCATTGTAGTGGTAGATGTCTTTGTAATTGGAGGTCTGGAAGTTGACAGAAATTCACGAACTCTCAACTTCCATGGGAACACTTGTGAATTGTAATTGCTTTCTATTACAATCATAGTTTAACAAAACAAGTGGTGACAAGAATATTTTAATTTTATCATATAGTTCATGAAAAAATACAAATAACTAAAAATTCCCGTGAAGTTGGAATAGTATTCTGGGAAAAAAGTTTTAGGACGAAGGGAGTATTCCATTAGAATCCCTACACCTCAATCTTCTACGGAGTATGTATTTTGATATCTCCATATACTAAAATTTTTTTTGGATATTTGGTGAGGGCCAAAAAAATATAAAATTCGAAATCTCTAGATATCATAAGTCCTTCAAATGAAAGTTTTCGATATCTTTCGAATTTGGTAAAGATATCAATATACGAGTGTTTGATATGTTTCTTAACCATTAATCATTCTCTATCACCAGCTACTATTGTCACCGTCAACCACTCCGTTGTCGGTCATCCTTAAAACAAGTTTGGGCAATCCGGGGGCTGGTGCATTTGGGTCGGGCAGTGACCGGATACTGTAACGCTCTCCCACAATTTGATCTTCCAAAACTTGTAAGGGGGCGTTTGGTTCAGGGGTAAGGAAATGGGGAAAGGGAGCTGATATTTGTTTTTAAAAAAACTAGTATTTTGACCCGTGCGATGCACGGGGTCGAACGAAATTGTTGTCGATTTTGAAATTTTTCAATGAAATATTTATTCCAGAATCAATTAAATATATTTCTGTCACAAATTTTAATCAATGGAAAACAACGACAAAGTAGAATATAATATTTGAGAAATTGAAAGTGTACTGAAAAAATCTTTTTTAATTCCAAATTTTTTGAAAGACTTTAGTGTACACAATATTTTTTGTATCGTTGTAAGCATTTTTATTTTCATCTAGAACTAATATTTTTAATCATGTCTTTTTCTTTACTCCGGAAACAGTAACATAAAGCTAACCATGAGTAAATCCTGAATTGGTTAAAAATAATATAGCAAAGGACAATGTTTGACATTGACTTTTGTTTATAGTCATAGCAAAACATAAGACTATTATATTGAGAATTCTATCAGATGATACCAAATTTTATTCAGGGTATGTAAACCTTTTTCTCCAACGCGATTTCTCGAAACATCAATTACATTGATAATGTTCTTTCACATCTCTTTAACGATTAATCTTTTACCATTACACAATCCATATATTTGGTCAATGTTCTTCAATAACATAATCGGTACCCCCTTTTAAAAACTATTTTGTGGTTTGAATCCCCTAACATTTGATTTCATTAAGAAGAATTAAACTGTTATCTAATCGTCTTCAACAACTACATCTAAATATGTTTGGCATGAAGAATGAGAACTTAAATACTCTTTTAATTTTTACCTCTTA